GCCTCGGGCCACCGCTCCGCCCCGAGCCGGCCGGCCGCCGCCCCGGCCTCTCCTCCACTCCGGCGAGCTCCCCATGCCCGGCCTCCTCCTCTCCAAGTCCGGCAGCTACAGTAACGGCGGCGAACCTCGGGAACCGCGCCAGATCCAGATCTGGAAAAAAATCATCTCGATTTACTTTTCTTCCCCAAACCCTAATTTTTGTGCATACTTTGACCGGTGATATCTTTGCATCCGTTGCTCCGTTTTGGACGTATAGTATGTCAAAATTTTCATCTCGACGAGTACATCATTTCATTCCATTGCATCATTTTCATTTGAGCTCATCTTGATGCCCGAAATGCTGCTAGAAGGGGGCATCGTGAGATATTTGTCAGATCTGCTAGTTCATCTTAGACTTTTGTCATTATTGCCATGATTGTTGTGTGCATGATATGCCTGTGAGTCCTTCATATATTTTGTTAAGGATTTTGTCTTCTTTCCAGAGGTGCAACCCATGCATTTTTAGGATGTGTGTGGTGACTTGTGCAAGCTTGCAAAGTGAGGCACCCGGTAAACCTGTTTTCAGGGACTTAGTAGTTTTCACTAAGTCTGGGATTATTTAGTTCATGATGCCATATGTTCTTGTTGTTTCCTAGTGATCCGTGCCTCTTTTGAGGATGATCAGTAAAGGAGTTTTGTTAATCTTGTTATGCTCTATCCATCCATGTCTTTACTTGCAATTATGGAGCACCCTAGCTTGAGTCAATCGAGCTCTATTTTTGCTTCATGGTGAATCTGGACAGATCGTCAACTCGTTTGCGATTTTGCCGATGTTATTGTAGTTGATCCGTGCATGCTATGCCATTGTTCTTGCCATGTCTAGCTAGCATTTTGTGTCTTCTTTATGGACATATGCCTTCAATACGATTATGCCTCTAAGTCGTGCCTCGACACGTGGAAGCTATAGTCGCATCGAGGGTGTGACAAATGTCTTCTTACATTTTTAGGGGTCATCTCTGGTAGGAAAACCGAATCAATGAGGGACTTCTACCTGTGTTATCCTGCAATTCTCACAAACACATTAGTCCCTCAACTAGGTTGGTCGTCCATACTCCAAAACCAACCAGGGGTGGCACTAGATGCACTTACACCCTCGCTCCCTCTTCTTTTATACTGAATGATGTACTCGTTTCTCCCTCTATCGTTACCAATCTTATATATGTTAGGCAATTCACTCGTGACAATTTTTGTTCTATTGAGTTTTACCCATTTGGTTTCCTTGTGAAGGACCTATGAACGCGGAAGGTGCTCCTGATCTCCACTAGTTTCGATGACCTCTACCCACTCTTCGACAGCAACTCGCCATGGCCTACTGCCTTCACCGCCATCACTTCCATGTCGGACATATGGCATCGCCGGCTTGGGCATCCCGGCGCGCACTCCTTTTCTTCATTAGCCAAAGATTTTCTTAGCACTTGTAATAAGCCCCCGCACACTCCATGTACTGCTTGTCAGCTGGCTAGACAGCCTAGGCTTCCTTTCCCTTCCTCTCTAAATAAATCTTATGCTCCCTTTGATTTAATTCATTGCGACCTATGGACCTCGCCTGTTGTAAGCTTTTTTGGGTTTCAATACTACTTTTGTTCTGGACGACTACACTCACTTCTCCTGGTCATTTCCCTTACGTAACAAATCTGACACGTCCTCCGTTCTCCAACGTTTCTTTACATTTGTTCATACACAATTAGGCACAGTGATTAAAAGCATGCAATGTGACAATGGCGGTGAGTTCATCAACTCTTCCCTTCGTGCCTTCTTCTCCTCCAACGGCATTGCCTACCGTTTCTCCTGCCCACACACTTCGCCTCAAAATGGAAAAGCCGAGCGACTCATCCGCACTACCAATGATATCGTCCGCTCCCTTCTCTTCCAAGCCCACCTCACACCACCATTCTAGGTAGAAGCATTACACACCGCCACATACCTTCTCAACCGAAGGCCCTCCCGTGCCATCAATGACTCTACGCCATACTTTCTTCTCCACGGCTCCCATCCCTCGTATGATCATCTCCGCGTGTTTGGTTGTTTGTGTTTTCCCAACCTATATGCCACCACCGACCACAAACTATCCCCACGCTCGTCTCGGTGTATTTTCTTGGACTATCCCCTCGAACACAAGGGATATCGTTGTTATAATCTCACCTCTCGCCGTGTTATAGTTTCCTGACACGTTATTTTCGACGAAACAGTATTTCCATATACGCCACCCACATGCATGTCACAAACACCCACGTCCACAGACAATCCCAACATGTGGATCTCACCTACCAGCCCTGTCACCGTGGATCCCGAAACCGATCTCCCCAGCCAGCCGCGCCCGGCCCCCACCTGATCCGCTCGGATCGTGCGCCCCCGCCCCACACGCCGCGTCGTGACTCCCCCACCCCATCCGCTGCCTCCACGTGTTCCCCAACCAACCACGCGCCCGCTTCCACCTCCCCTGGCCCGCGCACTACGCCCGGCTCCCCCCTGACGCAATCCACCTCCAAATCTGTGCCCACACGCAGCGCCGAACCCTCCACACGCAGCGAATCTTCCTCGCCTTTCGCGCCTGTCGGCCCGGTCCCCTCTCCTGCGAGCCCCACCAGATCCTCCTCGTCTTCCGCACCGCCAACCACGCCGCTCCCACGCCTTCCACCGCGTGCCATTCCCATAGCTCCTACCAAAAATAACGATCCATGTCCACCCGTGCCAAGTCAAGTTTTTGCATGCCCAAGCGCCTCTTCCTTGTAGATTCTACCTCACCGGCTATCTCCCCAATTCCTCCTACCTACAAGACTGCTCTCAAGGATCCTAATTGGCAACAAGCTATGGTAGATGAATTTAACGCTTTAATGAACAACTCTACTTGGTCTTTGGTGCCTAAGCCTGCAGGTGTCAATGTGGTCACGGGGAAATGGATCTTTCGCCACAAGTTCAACATGGACAGTTCTTTAGCCCGCTATAAAGCACGTTGGGTGGTGTGTGGCTTCTCCCAATGCGAGGGTGTGAACTATGATGAAACCTTCAGCCCGGTGGCCAAACCCACCATTATTCGTGTTGTGCTCAATATTGCCACCTCGCAAGCATGGCCCATCCATCAACTTGATGTCAAGAATGCCTTCGTGCATGGTGATCTCCAAGAAACGGTGTATTGCTCTCAACCGGCGGGTTTTGTCGACAAATCCTTTCCGGACCATGTGTGTCTTCTTCGGAAGTCTCTCTATGGTCTCAAACAAGCACCACGTACATGGTTTCTTCGCTTTTGGTCCTATTTGCTCTCTCTTGGTTTTTGTGCTTCCAAAAGTGACACCTCACTCTTTATTCTCCACCGTGGTTCCACCATTGCATACTTGTTGGTTTATGTCGACGATATTATTCTCACTGCCAACTCCACCACCACCCTAGAGCTCCTCATTCGGTCTCTCAAAACTGAATTCTCTGTGTCTGATTTAGGTGCTCTACACCACTTTCTTGGCATCAATGTGACCCCCAATGCTTCTGGTCTTTTCCTTTGCCAACAACAATATGCCTTGGAGATTCTAGAGAGAGCAAAGATGTTTAATTGCAAACCAGTGTCCACCCCCATTGATACTAGCTCCAAAGTATCTTCAACCGACGGCTCTGTTCTTTCCAACCCTACTCACTATCGTAGTCTTGCCGGCGCGCTTCAATATCTTACCCTCACACGTCCGGACATTGCTTATGCTGTCCAACAGGTGTGTTTGTTCATGCATGAGCCGTGGGACACCCACATGCAGCTCATCAAGAGGATACTACGATACTTGCAAGGCACCTCCCACTATGGCCTTCAGCTCTATCACTCCTCTTCGCATGATCTTGTTTCCTACACTGACGCCGACTGGGCAGGGTGCCCCGACACGCGCCGCTCGACCTCAGGGTTTTGTGTGTTTCTTGGGTCCAATCTCATTTCGTGGTCCTCCAAGAGACAACCCACTGTTTCTTGCTCCAGCGCCGAAGCCGAGTACCGTGGCGTGGCTAATTGTGTGGCCGAGGCTTGTTGGCTCCGTCAACTTCTTCATGAGCTCAAACATCCTCCTCGGCGTGCCACAGTGGTTTACTGTAATAACATCAGTGCCTCTTACCTTGCGTGTAATCCCGTTCAGCATCAACGCACTAAACATGTGGAGATAGACCTACACTTCGTCCGAGATCGCGTGGCACTTGGCGAAGTCCGGGTCCTCCATGTCCCCTCTTCCTCTCAGTTTGCCGATCTCTTCACCAAGGGACTGCCGTCACCGATCTTTCATGACTTCAGGAGCAGCCTCAACGTCCTTGCCAACGGAGTTCCGGCTGAGGGGGGGTGTTAGATATTTGTATATCATGTAACGGTATTATTATTGTAACTCTCCTGTAATTATGGATCGCACCATGCCAGGGCCTGCGTGCCTATTTTGTAAGGCATGAGTGCTCTCCTTACTTGTATAAGTGTTGTACTTTGTATCTGAGGTAATCAAGGCAACAATTATTCTCTCCAACTGCCCTGCCCAAACAAACTGAGAACAGAGGCAATGCTTGGGCCCAAATTCGAATGCGATACGTTCAGAAAAAGAAAAAGAAAAACTCGAATTCGATAGGGATGGGTTGAATCTTGGATATTAAGATGAGGTCTGAGGATAAGATGAGTAGGAATTGTCAAGTGGTTCAAGGCTTGAGGCATCCGGAATTTGAGACCAAAGCAGTCTTGTTTCTCTGCAGCAGCCGACGCTGCTGATGCCCGAGCCCCACCAAATCCACCAACCCCCGCCCCCGCCCCCGCCTCCAACCGATCCAAACCCCGTTGCCTCCACGGCTGCAAATGCCCGGCGCAATCCGGTACCATTTCTTCCCATTCTCCGTGCGGAAGGAACGAGACAAGTTCTTCCTCTGATTTCTTGCTTGTCTTCTTCCTTGTTGTTGAGGCCCCGCTGCCGCTGCCGCTGCCGGAGATCCCGGTGCCGCCGGTGCAGCCGAAGATGATCATAAAGGGGATGCTGGGCCGGTATGAGCGGTGGAACCCCGTGCACCCGACGGCGGGCGCCTTCTGGGGCGTCGGGCTGGGGTTCGGCTGCGGCGTCGGGTGGGGCCCAGGGTTTGGGCCGGAGGTCATCGGCTACGTCGGCGCCGGATGCGGCGTTGGCTTCAGCGTCGGCATCACGCTCGCCGGTGTCGGCGTCGGGCTGCCACAGCACGGCATCATCAAGAACCACTACCACGGCGGCGGTATGACTCTTCTGCTTGCACAACAAGTGTCACTGACTAGTCCTATTCTTATTCTTAGATGGTTGGGAATGTCTTATCAAGTACTCAAGCAATCTTGCGGTGTTTGGTTTCGTAAAAACTGCATTTCAATTGGTGTAGAGATGAACTAATGAAGAACATAACCAACCGCTCCTTGGTGTTGAAAAATTGTAGTTTTAATAGCTCTGCACATGTGATTGCAACTACAGCATTGGATATACTTTTTTTTATGAGAAATGGATATACTTATAATTTAATGATGCCTTTTTCCGTGTTGGTATATAGGGTTCTATTCAGCTTGAGTCCTTGTCTGCCACAGCCTTATGCACCTCGTTGCTAGTTAACACTAGAATATGACACTTTGAATAACATGCTCGTTTCCCATTTGATATGATAGGTTTTGCAAGCAATGTCCCATTCGAATCAGCAAGGTTTTACCTCTTGACCATGCTAAAAGGTATGGTATGGGATGCCATCAGTTATGCGAGCAACGTCACAGCTATGAGGAAAGAATCTCGACAGAAGCTTTTAAGATGTCAGGAGAACCCTCAAGTTTCAGGAGTTGATCTGCCCAAGCTGGGGAAAGGAATGTCCAGCAGCTTCCGATCAACGATGGAGTGTATCAAGGCCTTCACAAATCAGAATTGGCCTCCATAGCAGCACCCAAGTAAACTGAAGATTGATAAACCGAGCTTTGTGTGCAAACCACCCACCCGGGATCAAAGCCTGGGTAGTGGTACCCCTTTCACTGGGTGACAATGGGGTAGTCGGATGCAGGTGGCTCGTATGGCGTCCACCACAGGGTTGACGTCCCTTCTAAAGGAAAATTAAGGACTTGTACTTTATGAATAAGAACCCCCATGGCACACATAGATACATTATACTCCCTCCATTTCATAATGTAGTGTGTTCATGCTTTTCGAGATTTAACTTTGACCATAAATTTAACCAACATGGGCAACTAGAGTGGGAGCATGACAGATACCTTTGAGTTCGTATTCGAAAGAAGTTTTCAAAGAAATAATTTTTCAGTAAAATGATTTATGTATTATTGGTCCGCATGATTTATGTATTATTGGTCTAATTTATGGTCAGCGTAGAAGCACTATATTATGGAATGGAGTACATATTTCTTCATCATATGTTTTTGGCATGCGCAAGTTTAAAATTTTACGGTTATAAGGGGAAACAATTCCAACTGAAGAACATGCTAGCCTGTAATCTAGCTATTGATTTTTGTTGAATAATCATCCAATCGATGTGTAACAATAACAATGTTGTCAATCCATGCACTTCGCAGAATCTTGTATTGTGAAATGAAACTCCATTCAAATTGTACTTTGATCAGTGCCTCGGCGCTTGACTTAATTTCATGATCTTTCGCCTGTGGTGTCGCTTGTTGTATTTTCATCACGTAAACTGTATCACTATCTTTTTTGTATTCTCATCATGTATCTGTTGTATTTTCATCACGTAAACTGTATCACTATCTTTTTTGTATTCTCATCATGTATCTGTTGTATTTTCATCACGTAAGTCTTATTGCTCATTATATTTGCAGATCCTTTTGAATGGAGTGTTGATGGTAGAATAAATGCCTTGAGGCAGAAAATGTCGAAGATTGTATCTGTGTACCGTTTGATCTTACAGCTTGGGTTTTCTTCTTGAGTTTGGAGGTTTGGACAATAAGGCACGTTTTGCTCATAGCCGGACTTTGTGATACTTCACCCACCAAACTGTGGCAAGCCATGAGAAAGCGAAGGCAAAAAATTGCTCGTGTTGGAAACGGATGTAAGACGAAGTTCTGAGAATCATCTTGGCTCAACAGCATGAGACCCAAAGATATTTGACCTCTCGAAAAAGAAATCTACATCGGTCCAAAAAGCTCTCCTCAACACCGCGCCCAGACCCTAGGGCCGCTGCGGTCGACGCGGCGGCAGCAGAGAAGGTAGTCAAGCCCCTCTCTTTCTCGGAGCACGAGGAGGAGGCTGGAGGCGACACAGATGGCGTCGACATGGGCCCGGCCCTCTCCCTCGCCAGGCACACCCCGGCGACGGCGGACACACACTCCCTGCAACTGGGTGCGGTGACCAGTCAGGTGTGCCACTTGCAGATCGGCGACGCAGGCGGCCAGGGCGCTTCCAAGCAGCTCTTCTCCTCCACCCCGGCCTTCATCATGGGTATGATGCCCCCCCCCGCTCCAAGACCCCGATCCGCTCCAAGACCCCGACCCGCTCTAGGCCAGCAGTGATGCCAACAGCGACACGCCATAGCGCACGCCAGGCCAGCAACCCTTCCACGGTCCCCGTCAGTCAGTGTGCGACTCTCCGCATCGTCCACGGCCTCGGCATCCTCGGCCCGAAGGAAGCCATGACTGCAAAGGCGGCCGGGGCTCTCATCAAGCGTTTCAATGAGCCGCTGGCCGACTCCGACATCATGGCCATTGCCAAGCTCACCAAACTCGACCCCGCTGCGCTGTGGGTGGCGGCTGGCATGTAAGGCCCTGACGGAGAGGCCCCGGAGGCCATGCTCTTCCCATGTTAGTGCACCCATCATGTTGTACGCTCCGGCGACGCCCAACGATCAGCTGGGTTGAGTTAGGTCTAGTTCGTTGTTGTCCTTGTAGCGGATGTAGTGGTGCTGCTGTTTGCCGGCGGATATTGGGGCCTATTGGTGGCCACCGGCAACCCTCGGGCCGTGTGGAGGTGTACCTGTTTTTGCTCAATGCTATTGTTAGTCACCGGAGTAGATCCTTAGTTTACCATGAGTGACACAAATTGCCCCATCATGAGTTGGAACATTAGAGGCCTAAACTCTCCGACGCGGCGAGCTGTAGTAAATGAGACGGCCGAGGAGCACAAGCTGGCCCTCCTCTGCCTCCAAGAGACGAAGATCGAGGAGTGGAGCCGCCAACTAGCCCGGGAGGTTGGCGGGGCAAGGCTCGCAGACTATGTCGTGCTTCCCGCCATCGGCACCAGAGGTGGCGCCGCCATTTTTTGGGACAGCAGCGTCGTAGACGTACAAACACATGCCGTGGGCCAGTTCTCCATCACTGTCCGAGTCTCCGTTGCAACAACCACGACATCCTTCTGGCTAACCACGGTCTACGGCCCCGTCGACGATAGTAGAAAGGATGATTTTCTGTTAGAAATAGCTACACTACAAAAAAAAGACACATCCACGACATTTTGGGCCGAACGAAATTTTTTTCTGTCATACATATGACACTTCTATGACGATAATTGTGACAAAACCCGGTATCATCATAGATGTGGTGGGATTCTACTTCTATGACAAAAAATCATGACAGAAAATGGGCTTTTCGTCCTGGGCGGGCCGGAGACGCAGCTACATGACATTCTTTGGGCCATCCATGACGGAAAAACCGTGGTAGAAGCGAGGGCGAGGAAAATTTCGGGGAGTTCCCGGTTAAGGTGGGATGTCGGGGGCCGAGCGATGCGCGTTTCTCTCATACACGTACGCGTGTGTGTGCGAGGCGTTGGCTCTAACTGAACCCGAGCGATTGCACTGCAGGCTACTGATACGTCTCCAACGTATCTATAATTTTTGATTGCTCCATGCTATATTATCTACTGTTTTGGGCAATATTGGGCTTTATTTTCCACTTTTATATTATTTTTGGGACTAACCTATTAACCGAAGGCCCAGCCCAGATTTGCTGTTTTATACCTATTCCAGTGTTTCAAAGAAAAGGAATATCAAACGGAGTCAAAACGGAACGAAATCACCTGGAGAAGTTATTTCTGGAAGGAAACCTACCGGATAGACTTGGACCCTACGTCAGAAGATGAAGGAGGAGCTCACGAGGGTAGGGACGCGCCCCCTGCCTCGTAGCCACCCCTTCGGTCCACCGACGTACTCTTTTCACCCATATATACCCACATATCCTAAAACTTCCAGTGAGCACAATAGATCGGGAGTTCCGCCGCCAGAAGTCTCCGTAGCCACCGAAAGCCAATCTAGACCCGTTCCGGCACCCTGCCGGAGGGGGCAATCCCTCTCCGGTGGCCATCTTCATCATCTCGGTGCTCTCCATGACGAGGAGGGAGTAGTTCTCCCTCGGGGCTGAGGGTATGTACCAGTAGCTATGTGTTTGATCTCTCTCTCTCTCTCTCTCTCTATCTCTCTCGTGTTCTTGAGATGATACAATCTTGATGTATCGCGAGCTTTGCTATTATAGTTGGATCTTATATTTCTCCTCCCCCTCTTCTCTCTTGTAATGAATTGAGTTTCCCCTTTGAAGTAATCTTATCGGATTGAGTCTTTAAAGATTTGAGAACACTTGATGTATGTCTTGCCGTGCGTATCTGTGGTGACAATGGGATACCACGTGATTCACTTGATGTATGTTTTGGTGATCAACTTGCGGGTTCCGCCCATGAACCTATGCATAGGGGTTGGCACACGTTTTCGTCATGATTCTCCGGTAGGAACTTTGGGGCACTCTTTGAGGTCCTTTGTGTTGGTTGAATAGATGAATCTGAGATTATGTGACGCGTATCGTATAATCATACCCACGGATACTTGAGGTGACATTGGAGTATCTAGGTGACATTAGGGTTTTGGTTGATTTGTTTCTTAAGGTGTTATTCTAGTACGAACTCTAGGGCTGTTTGTGACACTTATAGGAATAGCCCAACGAATTGATTGGAAAAAATAACTTTGAGGTGGTTTCGTACCCTACCATAATCTCTTCGTTTGTTCTCCGCTATTAGTGACTTTGGAGTGACTCTTTGTTGCATGTTGAGGGATAGTTATGTGATCCAATTATGTTAGTATTGTTGATGGAACTTACACTAGCGAAAGTATGAACCCTAGGCCTTATTTCCTATCATTGCAATACCGTTTACGCTCACCTTTACCATTATTTACCTTGCTGTTTTTATATTTTCAGATTACAAATACCTTTATCTACCATCCATATACCACTTATATCACCATCTCTTCGCCGAACTAGTGCACCTATACAATTTACCATTGTATTGGGTGTGTTGGGGACACAAGAGACTCTTTGTTATTTGGTTGCAGGGTTGCTTGAGAGAGACCATCTTCATCCTACGCCTCCTACGGATTGATAAACCTTAGGTCATCCACTTGAGGGAAATTTGCTACTGTCCTACAAACCTGTGCACTTGGAGGCCCAACAACGTCTACAAAAAGAAGGTTGTGTAGTAGACATCAAGCTCTTTTCTAGCGTCGTTGCCGGAGAGGTGAGTGCTTGAAGTTATATCTTTAGATCTTGCAATCGAGTCTTTTAGTTTCTTGTTTTATCACTAGTTTAGTTTATAAAAGAAAATTACAAAAAATGGAATTTAGTTTGTCTCATACGCTTCACCTTTTTAATATCTTTCGTGAGTATGATGGAAAGGATAGTTGTGCTCAAGTGCTAGAAGAAGAAATATATAAAATGTTTGGCACTAAATATTTGAATGATGAGCATGATTGCAATATTGTTAGTATGAATTCCTTGAATATCCATGATGCTAATGATATGCAAAGCGACAAGCTTGGGGAAGCTATGTTTGATGAAGATGATATTTTTTGTCCCCCAAGTTTTGATGAGCAAATTTATTATGATGAAATCATGCCTCCTATATATGATGATTATTGTGATGACACGTTTGCCTTAAATAATA